TGTTTGTTGTTGCTTGTTTGCTGTTTGTTGTTTGTTGTTTTTATGTTGTTGGTTGTTGGTTGTGTTTGTTTGTTCTTTGTTGTGGTTGTGATATGGTTTTTCATTTTGGAAGTGCTTGGCACGCAGGGGGCTGGGCTTTAAACAGATTTTTGTGGCAGGCGCATTGGTACAATGTATGTATCTATGTATGTATCTATGTATGTGTGTATGTATGTGTGTTTGTATGTATGTTTGTATGTATGTGTTTATGTCTGTAAGTACGTCTGTAAGCATGTCTGCATGTATGTTTGTTTTGTTTGTACGTATCTATGTATGTGTGTATGTATGTATGTATGTATGAATGTATGTATGTATGACTGTATGTATTTTTTTCTTCTAAAGGTGCTTATCTGGCCGTTTGGCCGGGCGCTCTAGGCATGGTGCCTCACCTGGTGTCGCAGCTCAGTAGTGCAGCTAGCAGAAGTCGACGTGCATTTCCACATCGTCGTCCGGACTTTCTTCTTCAGCAGTTTCTGAGTTGGAGTGCATAGCGTCTGCTTCCTGAGTGCCTGCCAGACGGGTCTGATACGACAGCAAGGCTGGGGTTCTTGGCCTGTGCGTAATCGTACCCATCTTCCCTCTGCGTCAGAGGGGTGGTGAAGTGCAGGCGTTTGGGCCTAGAGCCACTGCTGGGCGGTGGTGTGGCCTGCTGTTGTGTAGGGCCAGTGGTCGCAGCTGCAGCCTGTGTGGGTGGCGTGGCCTTGAAGAAGGAATGGATCGGTGGCGATCCCTGCATGCCTGCCCCTCGACATTCTTTGATGAAGTTAGCCGAGGTGATGATGCGGCGGTTGCTGTCCAAATGGAGTTGCAAACCACAGCTTGTGCAGCTGATCTTTTGTCCTTTTTGCCACAAACGGTGACTTGGGTGGCCCTTGTGCTCCTCTTCAAAGGGGCAGTCCAGGCATGGGCTTTGTATGTATTCATTGAAGGCCTGTTCATTTGTCCGCTTGTGGATGTTGGTTCCACACTTGGTGCACTTGAGGTAGCCTGTTGTCTCCTCATAGTGGTGTTGGTCATGAGCTGGTGGCCGTTTGAGTTGGTCTTGGAGCAGGTTCCGGATGACCTGGGCACGGGTGAGCTTCTTTGCAGGTCTGGCGGCTTCCTTCCCTGGCTCTGGGCATGCTTGCTCTGCAATCTGTTGATTGCATGTTTCGCCGAGGCGATCTTCGAGCTCCTGCGCGGTAAGACCTTGGTGCATGCGTGTTCCGCAGGTGGTGCAGGCATAACCACTCCGCTGAGGGGCCCACCTGTGGAGACCGGCTTGCCAGGGTTTGGTGCACTGTTGGATGAGGTCCTTCTTCCTCTGTTTGGTTTGCTTGCCTGGTTGCCGGTCTGCCTTGGTATGCAGGTAGTGGTGCTTATCTTGGAAAATCATCTCAAGGCGTTGTGCTGCCTGAAGGTAGATTGCTTTGTGGTCCCGGTCCAGTGTTGTTTGCCAGCTGGTTTGGCGCCGGTCATGGAGTGCATCAGCTCTCTCCCATGCAGTCAAAGCGGCATCACGTTGCCTCCTGCGGAGTTGTGGCTCATTTCCTGGTGCGTCTGGTGTTCTGGTGTTTTTGCTGATGTACAGGACGGTGATGCGTTGTCGGTCCTGTGTCGTGACCTCAGCCAAGAGGTCTGGGTAGGGATGCTTGTGGGGTGGCTTTTGCCATGCTTCCCAGACTGTGCTCAGTTGGACAATCACCTTGGCCGGAGTGGTGGTGTGCTTGGCCAGTGCAACCAGTCCAGCAAAAAGTGCTCTGCCCTTGCTTTGGTGGCCGCTTGCTGCTCCAGTGATGGCTCCCAGGCGTTTTAGTTGCCCCATCGTTTGAGTGTGGAGGCATAGGCCGAAGACCCAGATTTGACTTCGCGTGTCATAATGACTGGGTGTTGCATCCAGGGTGAAGGCAAAGCCAGCATATTGATCCGGGCCGATGGGCTGCAACTCCTTCCACACTCCATGGCGTTGGTATGGATGCTGCTGGTGCAAATGTTCTTGTGGTTCTAGTGGTATCCATCCCTTGGACCACAGGGCTTCTTCTTCCGGGTTGGTGATGCGTTCAAGCCATTCCGCGGGGAGCGGCTTGTGGGGCTGCGTTTTGTGCCATTTGCACAACCAAAGCACATGCTTGGCTGTGGCCGGGACATGGCAGATGGGACACGGTTTGGAGCCTTTTGCATCACGGTAGTGGATTGCTCCCTGCACCCCGGTTTGCAAGTGTCTCGATTGTTGTTCTGGCAGCTTGGGTTTGAGGATTCGGTACGTGTGCCAGTCCAACCCTGTGAGCAGGTGTTGGTGATGTGGTCGGCTTGCAAATCTGTGGGTGCGCTGCTGGTGTGCCTCCTTGGTCAAGCGATGTTCAATCTGCCACCATTGATCTGTGATGTGCACCTCAGCTGCAAGCATGAGGTCTGTGGCAGGCCGGGTCCAGTGGAGCATGTCATGAACGTTCCATCCCCACTCAAGGAGGTATGCTATCGTGGCTGCCATGGGACCTTTGACTGTATACCACGGGTGCTGCTTGGCTTGTAGGCTCTCCAGTGTGGCTGTCCAGGCCTGCTGTAGCTGTGGCATTTGCTCTTCTGGCCATGCTTGGATGAGCTGGTGCATGGCGCGGATGTGGTGGATGATGATCTGGTCAGCGGGGTCCATGTATTTGTTTTGGTGGATGTCATAGGTGACATCAAGGATGCCTCCGGTGTGATGGCCCAGCTGCTTGGCCAGTGCGTGTCGGAGTGCCTGTCTGTACCTGGGTGCGAGGCCTTGGCTCTCTACGCCCCAGATGGCAACGGGTTGGATGCCGCCCCGGTGGAGCCTGAGCCGTACTCGTAGTGCTGGGATTTTTAGATTCCTCAGCTTGATCTTCCTTTGTTGTGCTTTCTGCATCCGTTGTTTCATGACTGGAATGCGGCGTGCTCTCCCGGCCTGATGGTCTATGCCAAGGTCTCTCATCACTGGGACCACTGGGGGTTCGTCTTCGGTGAGGATGTCCTTGAGAGCCTTGTTGACCTGCTTGTCAGTGCCAATGAAGGCAGTTTTTTTGGCACTCACCCTCATGCCAAGTTGTGTGAGCCGTTGTTGTAGGTCACGGTAGGCCTCAATGGCCTGCTGGGCCACGATGTGTGGTGTTGTGCCAGCAGTGTCATAGCCGATGTCATCTACCCAGCTGGATAGGTGGATGCTTGGATGCTGTTCATGCCAGGGTGCCAGGGCTGGGGTGAGAACAGCTTTTGCAAGGAGGGGTGCTTGTGGACATCCGGCAGGAACTCCTTGATCCACGTGGAAGAATGGTGTCATTTCCTGCTCTGCTACTATTGCTTTTGGGCCGGTGTACAACTGCATGGCCATCTCGAGCATGAGAGGTGGGTAGTTGACGGCGATGGCTTGTTCTTGCAGTTGCTGTAGCTGGATGGTGTCGTAGAAGGTGGATAAGTCCATAAGGACTGTCACCCCGTGGCGTTTGTTGGCTCGGTGGACCTCTTGTCTCAGTAGCCTCTCCAAGGCCACCTGCAACACCTGTGCTCCCGGTCTGGCACGGTCGTGG